GACCAGAGAAGTTTATTTTTAATTTCAGTTTGAATAATGATCCATTTCCAAGAAAAGTGGTCAAAATTAAGAAAACACCTTGATTACTTTGACCTTTATTCTACACGAAAATTGTGATTCACTTGAATATATATATTGAAAAGGATGCTTATCCTCCTTATGTGTATAGAAAAGTCATAAAAATTGAAATTAAAACCTTTTTGAGAATTTAAGAATAATTTGAATTGCAACAGAGCAAGAATGGGCGAAGTAGGCGCACTTTCAACTGCTAAAAATGCAAAAATGGAGAGCTTCACGCATCGGCGTAGCCAGAATGCCAATTATTATTTTTCTAGTCCTAAAACAACATAATAGATCTATTACAACACAACAAAATAACCTTTATTTTCTTCCATACAAAATTACGTTACGTTACGTTTATTTTCTTCCATAAAAATACGTTATTAAGTATACCCCTGCTTCACCTGAATAGATAAACATTTATTTTATACCCGAGCGCACTTGTGCACAAGGGTATTATAACTTTGTTCACATAACGGTTATTTGTAACAGGCTAAACGAATCGAGATAGATATAGACAAATGTATACATAAATGATCAGAATGAAAAGAGAAATCGATTGAGCTGTGACTCTCTGTCTGTCCGTCCGTCCGTCCGTCTGTACACACGATAGCTCGAGTAAAAATTGAGATATTTTAACGAAACTTTGTACGTTCCCTTTTTTCGGGAGTAGGACGGATGGTATTAAAACTGGGCAAAATCGAAAAATAACCACGCCTACCTCCCATATAACGGTAATTTTCAGAAATACGAAAACTGTGATATTTTAGTAACTACTGCAGTTTATTCACTCAAAATTGATATTTACAATAACTTTTAGATGAAAAACAAGAAATTATAAATTTTAGCCACGCCCACTTATGGTTACATGGGTATATCTTGGTAACCGCTACACCAATTTCTTCCAAACTTGGCACAGTTGTTAGCCTTGGCACAGAATACGAAATGGCCGAAAATTTTTAAAATCGGACAATAACCACGCCCACATCCCATGTAACGGTAACTCGGAGAAATACGGAATCTTCGATAAATCAGTAAATATTAAAGCTAATTTATTCAAAATTGATGCTTGAAACCACCAAAAAATACGTTTATGATAACATTTTGGTAAATGGGCGTGGCACCGCCCATTTATGATCACATATGTGTATCTCTGTAACCGTTCTACCAATTTGTACCAACTTGGTGTGGTTATTCTGCTTGCCACATAAAAGCAAAGCACTGGAAATCGATAAAGATATTGACAACAAAATCGATAATTAACCGATAAAAAAATCGATAGAAAAGTCGATAACAAAATCGATTACAAAACCGATAACAAAATCAATAAAAATATCGACAACAAAATCGATAAAAATATCGACCATTTAAGTTCCGAAAATATCGATAGTAAAATCAATAACAATATCGATAAATAATTTCGATAAAAAAATCGAAAAAAGCTTCGATCACAAACCCGAAAAAATATCGACTATTATACCGATAAGTCCCGAGGATCCCGAAAANATATTTTTAGCTAACTTAAAACAGTTAAATTAAATCAGGTTAGGGAACTTCCTATTCTTCTTAAACGGAATCGCTATATCTACAAATTATTTTATACTTTTTAGTTCTTGTTGTAATAAAAGCGTGTTTTTAGTTTTTTTAACTATAATATTATTATTATTATGTTTAGCATATTCTCCATATACATATTCCCCTTCACCTTTGCCCTTATATTAGTAAAGTGCTTACATTTACCTTGGTCTTCATTTTTGCCTTTATCTTTACGCAACTTTGTTTTATTTTTTATTTTTTCCTTTGCCTTTATCCTTTTCTTTATCTGTGTACGTACACTCACCTATACTTTTAATTTTGGATTGGTCTTTTTCTAAGTGTTGTTTCACGTATTATGCATACATGTGTTCATACATACATATCGTCGTTTAAAGTGCAAAACCGCGTATCAACAAAATGCAAAACCGCGTATCAGCAAATGCAAAACCGCGTATATGAACTTGTAGAAACTATTTTCTAGAGCGTAAAAACACTCATATTTCAAAATGGTTCTCTTTTTTATAAAGCAATCGCAATTCTGGCAAGTATATTTCAGGACGAATGGATAAGGATTGAGCCAAGAGCTTGTGTGAGCAAATCCAATTTTTGGCAGCCAATGTCAGTTACGCGGTTTTGCAGAATGACGATACGCGGTTTTGTACTTTAAACGACGATATATGTATGTACATACATAATATGTATAGACATACATAGATTACTAAAATATAGAAACAGATCCACATTAACTGCAATCAACATATGTACGTATGTATCTACTTACATATGTACTTATGCTGCGATTAAGTTATAAACATTGCGCCATCTGTTTATCAAATGCCAAAATATGTACTTACGTACACATACATACTTTTTGTCTCGTTTCCTCACTTCCAACGCATGCACGTGTTTGCAAAACGATGACGAAGTGATTTTGTATGGGAAATCATTTATGCCCATATATTTGAATAAAATATACATACTTAGAAGATATCGGCCAATACTTCCCATACACCAAACGAAAGGAAAACTCTTAAAGTTTTGATTAAAGAAACAAAACCAAAATCATTCGAGCGGTTTTCGAGCATTTTGGTAATAAAAAAAATTTGCGTAATTTTTCAACAATTGTTTGCCTTAAAATGCTCAATACTTGTTGATTTTTTATAAAATCTATACACGATAATATTTCTATTGCTCCAAAGAATCTATATTCCGAAAACGAAAGTTATAACTGCAAATCATAAGCTGCTGGAGCACTTTAAAAGCTCAAAATTTACCCCAAAATAAGCCAATGTTTACCGTTCTTTTTACGACGGAAACCGAATTGGTTACTTACAAAAATGAATCTGTCGTTAGGTTTGGAATTTTATCTTTGAAACGCCACACTTTTTTTTGAAATCGCTTCATTAGTTCTCATGCAATAAGCGTTTTCGTGAAGCTCGNCACGCTTTTATTACAAAAAGAACTAAAAAGTATAAAATAATTTGTAGATATAGCGATTCCGTTTAAGAAGAATAGGAAGTTCCCTAACCTGATTTAATTTAACTGTTTTAAGTTAGCTAAAAATATGATTAAAGTGATTGATCCGTAGTTATAGTCAAAATAAAGTGCACTGTAAAGTTTGTTGCAGTTTTTTTACAGACACCCCATTGAAAGTTATGCCAAAAAGCTGCAACTAACTTTACAGTGCACTTTATTTTGACTATAACTACGGATCAATCACTTTAATCATATTTTTAGCTAACTTAAAACAGTTAAATTAAATCAGGTTAGGGAACTTCCTATTCTTCTTAACTCTCCGTCAGACACATGTTTCGATTGGCACATTCGATAGTTCTT